ATTGTGGGTGCAGAAGTCACAGACAGACTTTGCCAGGCCCAGCCATGATGCAGACACTTGTCTTCACAGCCCATTGAGAGTTGCTACCCTTGCCGAGGCACCTAGACCAGTCCATGGGAAGGGAAGACCTGGGTTTCAGTTCGGGCCTTTAGTTGACAATCTGTGACCTTGAGCATGTTGCCAAACCCCTCTGAGTTTCATCCTCCTCACTAGCAAAGGGAGGGCAGTATGGGGGGTATTTGTGTCTCTCGCCCAGAAGGTGCCTGATTAACACTGGTGATCATTTCCACTCTCCAGTGTTGCTTCTTTTACTTGTGTGGTGTTTCTGAACATCAGCAGAAAGTCCCACAGTCCTGGAACTGCTGATGTGGGTGATCGTGGGTTGGAGGTGGCCGGCTATGATTGTGTTCCAAGTTTCATTGCAGTTGGTCCTTCAGGGATTTGTGTTTCCACAGTGAAACCATGCGAAGCTGCTCCTCTCCAAGAAGGAACTCTTCAAAAAAACCTTGGCAGAAGCTCCTGAAAAACCTTGTCTTGTCTATGATCCCTGATATAGAAAAGGATGGAATTTAATTATTCTGTGCAGTCCATGAGCCCGGCAGCTGGGCCTGGCAAACAGCCACAGCTATCTCCAACCAGCGGGCTCCCTGGCTCCCGATGGGGCTCATCGGCACTGGCATGTGTCACAGCACAGAGGACAGGCACTGAACAGGCCCCACCCTCAGCCTGGCCCTGTCCTCTCCACTGTCCCTCCTTGATGTTTGTGACTTACAGAAATCGTCTGCAATTACCTTGGAGAAGGGGCTCTCTAGAAGTTAAGTGGAAAGGTGGCTTTCCAGGCACAAGCCTCTCAGCTACCCGTGGGGCTGGGTTCAGTGTAACAGCTTCGGGCTGAACTGGGAACACCAGGACTGGAGAAACTTAGAAAGGTCATGCCCTGGTTACACCAGGGACCTGGGGACTCCAGGTAGACTCTGAGAACTCCAGCCTGCAGCTGGCTTGCTTCCCGTGTCTCTGACACAGGTGGCAAGTTGGGTTCTTACCTGTTACAGGAACTTAAACCAGAGACCTGAGTGAGGCCTGTTTGGGCAGGTGGCCAGTGAGGGCTCAGGCATTGACCCGAAGATGAGAAGTGGGGGGTGGGGGGAAGCAATAGCAGATACACTGGCCTGCACCCCAACTCTTACCTGTTACAGGAACTTAAACCAGAGACCTGAGTGAGGCCTGTTTGGGCAGGTGGCCAGTGAGGGCTCAGGCATTGACCTGAAGATGAGAAGTGGGGGGTGGGGGGAAGCAATAGCAGATACACTGGCCTGCACCCCAACTCAGCCCCTGCTCCGTGCTGTCGGGCTCAGGGCTCATCACCATCTGTCTGCTTTCTGCACCAGCCATTGCTATGTCAGGCCTTAAATAGTTCAGTGATGAAGATCAAAGAGCATGTGCTGTTGGGTCAGTTTCTGTCTGGGAGACTTTTAGCAAATTTGCCTAACCTCATGTGCCTCACTTTTTCCATCTGCAAAATGGGAATAACAGTCTAGCACGGCCTCTGGATTGCTGAGAGGCTTACACAGAAAGAGCAGGTGTGAAGCACCAGGCACAGAGCAAGGGCTCAGCATGTGCTGTTCCCAGTAGTGGTTGTCATCATTGTTGTCATCGAGGCTCAGCCCAGGTGCCACCTCTTTGGAACCCTCCTGGTCTGCCCTAGCTAGGTTCTTCATGAGGAAGTTCTTACTCACAGACCCCTAGAATGAGGAGGCGCAACACGCCACACACGGCCACACGGGGAAGCAGCAGGTGGGCCAGGAGGCGGAGGGAGAGGGGCAAGAGCCTCTGTTGTGGTTTCCGCAGGAAGGAGCAGGCGAGGCAGGGTGAGTGGGCTTAGGATTGGCTATTGAATAATTTCAGGTGGCTCTGGGGTGCAGTTGCTGTCCCTAGCTTGTGGAACCTGACCCCAGGGTGATCTGGGCAGGGGGATAGTGTCCTGGAGTGTAAGAGCTTGATAAAGGAGGAAGTTGGGGAGTGTGGGCTCTGCACTGGTCAGTTTGCGTATGTCACTAGGAACTGGCCAGCCACGAGAGGGCCAGTCTCTCCAGGGTCAGCAAGGCCCCAGATGTCAAAGCATCAGAAACACAGAAAGTAAAAAGGCACGATTAATCCACCCAGTGCACTGTGGGCTCTGGTGGGTGGTTGGGCCCTGGATTGAGAGAGAACTGGGGACCAAGTGTGGCTCATCTGCCGTGAGGCCATGATCTTGACCAAATCTCTTTCCCTCTTGGGCCTCAGTTTCCCTACATGTAAATGATTTCCAAGGTCTGCTCCTGCCCTGTTCATAACGCTAAGAACTATAAGCAGATGACCCCTGAGGACTGGCTGTTTTATTTATTCCAGGGATATTTATTAAAAGCCTAATGTGCACCTGCTGACATGTGGGGCCAGAGCTTGGTCATGCAAATGGGAAGCAGAAGCCATGTGCTCTAGGAGCAGCAGGGGGTTCCTGAAAGGAGCAAGGGGCTGCCTTCAAAGTATCAGTGGCCCCTAGGTGAGGGGCCACCCCATCAGGAGCTCGGAGTTGGGGATAAGCCAGGGACCCGGGTGCTGGTCACCCCCTAGGACCCGCTGTTAGAAGCTGGTTTTGCATCTCAGGGGGTGAGATAAAGGACCAAGGTTAGGACAGACACCTCTATCTCCCCTGAGTTCTTCCCACCCTGCATAGCATCCCTAATAAGGTAGGGATGGTTGGCCCCATATTTAGACCAGGAAACTGAGCCAAAGCAATATAACATCACCCAGAAATTTTAGAAAAACCAGGGGAAAACTCACCCCTAATCTTACCACTGTGATATTTTTATTTTTCCATGTTCCCCTTTATTTCCTGACTATCCATCTTTTATATAATTATAAACAGAATACAGTTATAATTTTGTATATTTTTTACACAGCATCATGAGCATGTTCCATGTTTTTACCCAGTTAGAAATTTTAATTATATTATGTACATTTTTTAAAGTCAGAGAGTTCTTTAAAACTTATAATGAAAAAGAGAAGTCCCCTGTACCCCTGTCTACTCCCAATTTTCATTCCAAGATTTTTTTTTTTTTTGGACCTTATCTCCACAGTGCTAAATAATACATTTACACATTGTTATTTCCCTTGTTTCTTCTTTTGATCTTAGAGATTTTCTGTTGACTTCCTCCTGTGGAAGATTCTGGTTCCTTAACCCCTCATTCATTCTCCATGTCTTCTCTTTCCATCCTCCCAAATAATAGTACCACAATTTGGATTAGATCAATAGGCAATGGATGGAGAATTATAATGAAGTAAATAATATTCTCAGCTGATTCTGGTAGTATACCAAGATGCTTTTCCTGGAAGTTAATAATTCATTTTTTTCATTTGCCTAGTTTTCTATGCAAGGCCATAGATGTGAATCACTTGGCATATTACTAATTCACCCTAATTTTCCGAAAGAAGTTTAATTCTCCCTTTGTTACATTTGCACACATCAGATGCTTTCCTTTCTAGACATGGTGTCACAGTCTAATGTGGTCTGGTTGTGCACAGCTGTCATCATGTGATATTCCGTCATTATCAATCTCAGGATACTCCTTGGTCTCTCTCCCAGATTGAACTTTTTTTTTTTTTTTTTTGCATATCTATGTTTTGGATCTTCCTTTCTTTAGCTTACTCCCTTGTTTCAGTGGAGTACATCCTTCAACGTCTTTCTGAGAAGGGGTGTGTGGAGTGTAAATGTTTTGAGGCCATGCATGTCCAAAAATGCCTTCATTCTATGCTCAAACCTTGAGGAATAGTTGAACTGGGTATAGAACCTTAGCCAGAAAATTCTCTTCCCCCAAAAGAACATTGCTATCTTCCAGCTTCCACTCTTACTCTTCAGAAGTCCAGTGCCATACTGATTCCTGAAATTTTTCCTAGGCCTTATTTTACCTCTGGAAGCTTTTATGGTTTCTTCTTAATCGCTGGGATTCTGAAATTTTGTGAGGATGTACTTGTTGGTGTGAGTTATTTTTTCATCTGGCCTTTGTGTGCTCTTTCAATTGAAAATTCATACCCTTCAGTTTTAGGTGAACTTTTTGGATCATTTCTTTGATATTTTTCCTCTATTTTTCTGGTTTCTTTCTCTGGAACCCCCAATTAGCCACATGTTGGACCTCCTGGATTGATCCTTTAATTTTCTTATTTTTGTCTCTTCAATTTTCACACCCCTACCCTCTTTTTTTTCAACCTTGTAGAAAATTTCCTTATGCTTTAATCCTCTTACTGACTATTTTACATCAGGCTTTTATTTCACTTCTAAAAGTGTGTTTTTGGTATTTGAAGGTTCTTTTTCAGTAGTGTCCTGTTGTTTAAGGGATACCAATAGAGTTTTTTGTTTTGTTTTGTTTTGTTTCAGTTTGTTTGTTTTTAAGTTTTCTTCTGTCCACTCATTGTCTGTTTTCTGAGTTCATTTTTTTCCTGCTTGTTATTTTGGTCTTTGTCTTTCATGTTAGAGACTATCTGCACATGTTTAATAGTCATTGGGAGCTGAATGCCACAGGCATGGCAGGCTCCCATTCTCATGGGCTTCCTTGCAAGGGGTTCCACTGAGCCTAAAGTCACTGCATCTCTAGGTCTTCTCCCTTGGACTACTCAGTTTCTCCAGAGAGGAATTTTATGGTTTGTCAGGTGTGGAATAGCCAATGACACCAGCTTTCTAAGAGTGCTGAGGTATCACCACTCAGTAATTACAGTTTTACTTAATTCTCACTTAAGTTAGAAAGTCATCAAAGCATTTAAACACTTTCTCCCCTTGCACCTCTTCTCCACAGCAGTCCAGCCTTTACACTCCCACCTCTGATGCTGCCTGGAAGCTTCTCACTCTCAATGGAATTTTGAATTTTTTTTTTTTTTGGTGGCTGGCTGGAACAGTGATCCAAACCCTTGGCCTTGGTATTACCAGCACCATGCTCTCTCAAGTGAGCTCACTCACTGGAATTTTGACAATGGGGGTCCAGCCACTCTCCTCAGAAACAGCCATGGTGGGCTGTGCCACCTTCCTGTTTGCCTTGGTATCTTTCCGGCTGGGCCGACCTGCATTTTCAAGGAAGAGGATGAACCATGAGGCAAAGGAGGAGACAGGGAATAGGACTGTCCTGAGGAAGGAGCTGTATTGCAAAGGCATGGAGATTGGGGAAAGCTCAGGTAGTGTGGTCTGGCTGGAGGGGTAGGACCTGGCTGAAGAGGGTGTGGCCTGGGTGGAGGGGTGTGCCCTGGGTAGAGAGGGAATGGCCTGGATGGGGGTGTAATGGTGAAAGACCAGGGTGGGTGGGGGCAGTAAGCCTAGCAAAGACAAGGACTTTTTCCTAAGGGCAGTGCGACCTGTTCAGTGTTCCTAGCAGAGGTCAGGTGACTAAAGTCTCACCAGTGGAGGAAAGTCCTTAGTGACCTCCAGAGGCCTAGTAGGGGAGGAAGAAGGAAGAATGAATGGCCCAAGGTGGCCTCTTGGGTTGGGCGGGGCTGACCCTGTGTATAGTAGGATAGAAAGGTGCCTGATGTATTTGTGTTGGACCCATGCTGTCTCTTTTCTGCCTTTTGTCCTCTGTCACATTGGGGAAACTGAGGCCACTCTGGACTTTCTTGTTCCTCTGGTCCCTGTGAGCACTCATGGCCAACCTAAGTGGCCAGTCCCTGCAGCAGCTGACTCCATTGACTTTCTTGGAGCTTTATTCTCCTAATAGGGCCTAGGAGTCTTGGCTGGGGTTAAAGATCTCCAAGTGGATTTTAAAGATCTCCTCCAGCTGGGCCCTAATTGGAGTGGCCTCTGGTGACACCACCCTGCACATGCACCCTCCCTGCAGACCCATCTCTGAGACCTCTCACAGAGGGATCTAGGCCTTTGAGGACAGGACCACCCACCTGTGTGACCTGGCTCCTCCACAGGGGTCTCATGGCCCAAGCCTCACAGTGGAGTCATGCCGCCTCTTTAGATTTCCCCATAGTAGCAACTCCTGCCCAGGCCTTGGGAACCCAGCCTCATTCAGGAGGCGGATCCTGAATTCTGGGAGCAGAGCCATCAGCAGCAGCAGCACTGGCCCAAGGCAAATGGCAGGTGGACTTGGCAACTGCCATCCCGCAGTGGGTGGCCAGAGCCTGGAAGTGAGAGGCCAAGCGTGAGGGCACAGGTGGGCAGAGCACAGTGTGGAGCCTGAAGCCCTTGGAGCTGATCCCGTATGAACCCTTTCTACAGATGGGAAGGCTGAGGTGCAGAGAGAGCCAGGCATCTGAAGCCACACGGTGATTAGTGCAGACTGGACCCAGGTCTCTATAGTTCTCTTTCCACCGACCACACCAAGCAGTCAGTGCTCTCTCTCACTCTCTCTTGCTGTCACACACGCACACTTCCAGCATACACATATTGGCAAGGATTCACCGCCCCTCTGCCCCCAGTTTCTGCATGTGGTCTGGACACCAGGAAATGCACCATGGCCCGGGCATCTGCAGGCCTGAGTATGTTGTAGAAGGGACCAGGAACATGGGAATCCTCAGAATCCCAGAAAGTTAGAGCCTGCATCTCAGCGAGGGACACTGAGGCCAAGAGAGGTACAGGAAGGGTCTCATTTGGTCACAGGGCCAGGAGGGGGCAGGATCAGCCCCACAAGCACCTTTTCCATGTTTCCACCACTCCGGTGAATAATTTGAGAAAGTTAAACAAACATGCTTTAACTGCCTGTCCATGACAGATGCCAGGGGAACCATAAACTTGGCAGTTCCGGAGCGCTTGCCCGGGCTGGTGGCATGGGGAGTCTGAGCTTGCTGGGGAGCTGGACCCCCCGTGCCTGCTGACAGCCAAGCCTCTCCCCACCTGCCAAGCAGGGTACCTGGTGCCAGAGCAAACTGGGCCTGGGCCCAGCACTTTCCAGAAATAGGTCCCTGTGAGAGTCCAAGGCAACCCCTCCGTCCGCTGACCTTACCCCCTGCAGGGGATCCTATTTGTTTCCTCAGACCCTGGAAACACTCTGCTCATGGCCCCTAAATGCTTCCAGCATGTACAGTTTGTCCAGTGCCCTGGGTGGGGCTGGAACTCTAACGTACAGCTCTCCCATGTCCACGGCCACCTCCTCGCCCTTCCTGCTGGCCCCAGAGTGGGGTGGAGCCTCCACATGTGGGAAGGAGGGAGCTGAGGCTCAAGCTGCAGAGTCACTTTTTCATAGTCATCCTGGCTAGGCCAGAGGACATGGCGGCTCAGGAGGGTTCATGGACCTCTGCTCCAAGTAGACAGCCCCCTGGCCATGCCACCCCCGTCCATGCCACCCCATCCATTGCCACCCTGCCACCCACCCCACCGTGTCAGCACAGCATCGTCCAGGGTGGCATGAACATCCACTGGGCCTGCAGGTGGAGGAGGGCGTGGTTGGGGCAGGGGGAGGAGGGTGGGCAGGTGGGAGGACAAACGGGACCCTGTTCATCTCCATCTCTGCCTTTCCTATTAAGGGCTTCTTAGCAGCCCAGGAATCCTTGGCTGAATTTAATAGAGAGGCACCGAAAGCCCCTGGCCGAGGCCATGTTAACTGGGAGGCTGGTCTTTTGGGGACCCAGCCATTTCGCAGGGAGTCTCCCCAAATGTCAGTGTCTGTGAGCCTTTCCTCTTTGGCGGGTCCCTGTCCCCAGAGCGGACCCCTGCCCTCTGCCGCCTGGTGCTTCCTCAGCCTCCCGGCCGCTCCGGTTTGCTGGGCGGCTTCTGTGCCCGGCTGCCTCCCGTCTGGCAGGATGTCGTTTGCATCGTCCGTTTGCTGAGAGGACCCTTCTGCCTTTCTCTGTGTTTTGTGGATTTGATGCCTTTTATTTCTTGACCACCTCTTTCTTGCGAGGAAACTACAGGGAAACGTGTGTTCAATCCACTGTGTTTAACCAGAAAACCGCCTCCCTCCGTGGGTTGTCTTTTGCGACGCTCTGCCCCGTGCCAGAGTCAGGAAACTACACGTTCTTCTAGTTGTTTTAATGTTCAGTGTTTATACCTCAGTCTTTAATCTGTTTTATGTATCGGGATTACTGACAAGGTTTTATAGAGAGGAAAAAGAGTGCTGTTCCTAAAAAATGCTTACAAACCACTGACTTGGCCCGGCCAAGGGTAGAAGGGAGGGAGACGGGGGTGAGGGGCCTCCACTAGCCCGCATGGCGCCTTCCTGAAAACCAGGTAGGGCTGGGGGGCAGAAAGCCCCTCTTGGGGGAAGACACAGCCTGAACCTCTTACTCCCACGGTTCCAAGACCCCTTGTCACCCCCCACATCTCTCGCAGAGGAATCACAGGGAAATTAGCAAGGCGATTTCATCTAGGGACAACGATGGGGAAAGTCTCCCAGGACGGGGGCAGCTGACAGCGTGGGGATCCGTGTGCCATGCTGGTGAGCGCGAGGCCTCCAAGCATCCAAGTGGCCTGGGGCGATCAGCCCCAGCCTGCCAAGTGGGGGCTATTGAGTTGTGCAAATACTTCATGTGTGTCTGTGTGTCTGTTTAACCACAATGGGGTTCCTGCAGGGTCAGGCTTTGAACTGCATGGAGGAAAGAGAGGGGTTGAGGCGTCGCCTGACTTCTAGAGCAATAAAAGCTCTTTAGAACAGCTTTGAACCATCTATTTCCTCATTAAAGGGCTCCGGGTCTCGGGGGAGACCGACATAAATAGACAATTACAGCCCAGGGAGACGTGTGCTTGGGGGGTCAGCCTTTACTAACTAGTCTCCTAACTGGCCTTCCGGGCTCCAGTCCCTGCCACTCCCCCCCGCTGTACACTCTGCTGCCAGAGTGAGCTTTGAAAAATGTGAATCTGACCTTGCCTTTCACCTGCCTAAAACCCTCCCACAGCTGCCCCGCGACCTCTGGTCACTGGCCTGTGCCCCCTCCCAGGACCCGGTGTTAGGGCCCATCTGCCTCTCCAGCCTTGGTGGCCCCCAGTGTGCTCTGACTTGGCCACGCTGCCGCAGACCCTGCCCTGTTCTCGTTCCCTTCCAAGCCTTCGCGTTTGTTCTCTCTGCTGAACCTGGCCAACCACTGTGCGTCCCTCAGGTCTCACCTTAGACGCCACCGCCTCCAGGATGTCCTCCCTGACTGCTGCCCTGTGGACTGGCTTTGGCGTCCCCAGGATGCTCTTGCGCGCTCTGTTCTTACAGCGCAGCACAGCCCTTCCCAGCCTGTGTCTGTTTGCTGTCTCCTTCCCCGGCAGTGGCTCTCAAAGCCAGGGAGCATGTCTCATTTACCGCTCGTTGTCAATTATCAGATACTTTGTGAGTCTCTCCTGTGTGCCGAGCACTGAGATTCATGAAGGGACAAAAGAGACTAGGACCCCTGTCCCCATGGCACTCACAGGCTATTGGCATCCCTGGTGCCTGGCACAGAGCAGACACTTTGCTGGGTAAATGGTGGCACAGCGTGCTGCGGGCGCTCAGAAAGGAGGCTCAGAGGCCCGCAGGCTGCATGGAGGAGGGGCCTGAGGAAAAGGCTCTGAAGGATGGATGGGAGTTTTCCAGACAAAATGACTCGCGATTTTCCTGCCTTCCTGCCTGCTGAGAGGCTCTCCTGGTGCCTGGGCTGCTCTCTCCCCGGGGTCTGTGCTCTGCCCTCACATGGGCTCCTCTTCTCTTTCAGAATGCATGAACTGCACTCGGCTCAGTGACATGAGCGAGCGGCTGACCACGCTGGAGGCCAAGGTCAGACGGGCTGGGAAGCCGGGGCCTGGGGAACTGGCTGGGAGTGGGGTTTGCTGCTGGGTTTGGCTGGAGAAACCTCCGCCCCAGGAAGCCCAGCGGGCCTGAGCAGCCTGGTCCCAAGGGTTTGGTGCTGCCGAGGCCTTGGCAGCTCTGGGTGGCCCTTCTCGGGCTGGGCCAGCCTCCTGGGCGGGGAGAGCAGGAGAGCAGAGACCTGAAGGCCCCAGGCAGCAGGCTGTCTGCAGTGGGCAGGGCAGAATGGCACTGAGCTCCCAGAAGTCAGTGGAAAGAGGAGGAAGTCATTGTCCCTCCAGAGCTGCTGTCCCCTGCTCTGGCTCCTCCTGTCCCTGCCACCTGTCTGGTGTGGGGCTGGGCACACAGGAGCTGATGGGAAGAGCCACCAGGAAGCCACCAGCTTTCAGCCCAGTTCACAGAGGGAGGAGCAGGTCCTAGGTGGAGTCACTCTAGAGGCAGAAAAACTCCATAAAGGACAAGGAGTTTATTTGGGGGTGGCCCCAGGCAACACCAGGAGAGGAGAGCGGAAGGGAGGGATGTGTGCAGCACAGGTGTGTTAATGGGCAGGCTACCTGTGGGGCCTCCATCCCATGGTCCCCTGGGAGATGGTGTAGAGCACACCTGGGAGCCGGCCCGCCTTGGGGTGACAAAGCCAAGCAGTCTCTCCTGTCCCCCGCTGGGTGCGGCTTCTCCTGATATTATTCCCTGTCACTCTGGCCTGTCCCCAAGCCCACCGAGCCTGCTCCAGCAGCCAGAGAAAGCCCTCGGCAGAGAGTTGCAGGTGCCTGCAGGCAGATGCCAAAGCTGGGTGGGGTGAGGGGTACGTGTGGGCCACCAACAGCCTCTGCCCCATGGGGACAAGCCCCGTCCCCCTCCACACCCAGAGGGCCTGGAAAACAGATGCCAGGTGATTAGCTAGAGGGCCTGGGGGACAAGTCTGCTGAGGCCGCTGTGGAGCATCTGAGGGCAGCAGGAACTGAGGGGTCACCTGGCCCTCAGGGCAGAGCCAGCACCAAGGCTGGATTCACCTGAGCCCGAGGCAGAGCCCTCTCCTGGCTGGAGCAGGTGGCATCGCCCAGGAGGGAGCATGTGAACCAGGCCAGCTGACAGGGAGGCTGGAGTGAGGACCTGAGGCGGGGCTGGAGCCCCTGACAGCAGGAACCCCCCCAGGACGCCCTGAGATCAGCTGTGCCCCCATCCAGAAAAGCCTGACGGGCAGGACACACACCACACACACACATACTGGTATGCACATACATGTCACACACACATACACATATGTACACAGACACGTACACACATACATGCACAAACACTCATGCACGTGTGGGGACGCGCACACGTGCATATGCAGTACACACACACACATGCACGCAGGCGTGCACGCACGTGTGCACACACTCACCCACACTGCAGAGCCCTTGACAACCCACCCTGCCCTTCAGCCCTGCCCTCTGCCCGGAGAGCCTGACCTGTCACTTGGAGTGAGACGTACATGGGACCGCCACCCGCCAGCTGGTGACTCTCGGAGCTTCACCTCCTCACTGTGGGATGGGCTAGAGCTCCAGCCTCCCAGGGCTGTTGGGAACCACCTGCGAGAGGGTGGTGGGAGCCCACTTTGGAAGCGGTCACGCGCTGGAAAGGGTGAGGGTTAGTGCTGTCATCTGCGCCACTCGCTGTTCCCGTCTTGCCGATACAGACACAGGTGTAGGAGCCGCAGAACGCGGGACGTGAGGAGCCCATGGACATGACGGCCTCCCTGTCTTTGAGTCTTCTGCGGGCGGGCAGGGTCCCCCAGCAGCCCAGGCCCCCGGGCACAGGCGGGGGTGGGAGAGGGCCAGCTGCTCTCCTTGGGGTCGTAGCTCTCCAGGGGTGGGAGTGGGAGTCTCCAGGGAGCAAATGCTGCCACGTGGGCCGAGGCAGGACCAGGACAAGCTTAGAGGGGGAGGATACTGGGGGTGAACTTGTGGCACCTGATGTCTTAGAAGAGGCGGGGTCTCTGCGTTTTCCAAGCACCGGAAACCTCCGTGTGGTTTGCCGCAGAGCAGCAGCCGACAGCTTGCCCTGGCCCCAGCCCAGCAACCGGGGCGTTAAAAGTCACAGCTCCGGGGAAGACTGGCATGGTGCCAGCTGTCCCCACCTACCTGGCCCTCACCTGTGCCCTCCCGCCATGAGCAGCCCCTCCCCCTGTCCCTCCCACCCCGACACCCCCTCCTCCGGGGGCCCAGCACGGCAGGGCAGCGAGCGGGGGCAGGGCTTGGGGGCAGGAGCTCGAGTCTGGGATGCGTAGGGAGGAGGCCCAGGGAAGGGAGCCCCGCTCAGCAGACACTGTCCTTTTGACTGGATTCCCAGACAGGGGCTGCGGGGCTCCTGCCTCAGCTCCTGCGTCTCCTCTGGGTAATAACCTGGCAGCTGCCCACCTGCCCGCTCCACGCCCACGTGTCTCCTGGAGGGACAGGGCCACTAGGAGCTTTGTCAGCCTGGGTCAGAGGGCCCTGAAAGGCCGTAGCCTGGGGGGAGAAGGGAGAGACAAGCTGGGCTAGTTGCCAGGACAGCCCAGGGGTCAGCTCAGGTCAGAGGCTGGGGTCAGGGGACCGAGGCAGAGCCAGGGCAGCAGCCGGGAGGGCAGACACCAGACAGGGAGTCAGAAATCAGGCAGCTGGATAAGCGAGTGGGAGTCCAGAGCCTGTGGGCTGAGGCTTCCGCTCCCTTGACGAGAAGCCTGTTCTGGCGTGTCACAAAGGACACAAGTACCAGAGACCCAGCCAACAGGAGCTTATTCCAGAGGACACCTATTGTTTCTTCAACAGGAAGCCCAGGTGTAGGTCGACTTGGGGCAGGTTTGGTGGCTCGAGAACCCAGGCTGTTCGCAGTCTTCCCCTCCCGCTCCTCACTGAATTAGCTTTTGCTGCTTCTCAGTTACAAAGGGGCTGCTGCAGCTCAGGGCATCACGTCCTCACACCATGTTCAAAGGCAGGAAGTGGAGGAGACTCCTTGTGTCTCATGGGCACACGCTGGGCTGTAGGGCACCTCCTGGTTGCAGGGGAGGTGGCCACTGAGTACCTGGCCAAGCAGAAAGGGACGGCTCTGTTTGGCTCAGGCCAATCATGATCCCCCCCACACACACCTGGGTCCCACAAAAAGAAGGTTCTGGAGCAAGGGCAGTAGGGCCAGGCAGCCATCAGCATCTGTTCCATTTTCACTCCCCCTGGTGTCCCCACGGGGACCCCAGGCCTAGGAGCTGCTCTGTAATTCTTGGCACCCTCTTTTCCTGGGACAGGCAGGTGGGGCAGAAGGCCCGCAGGGCACTGGGAAAGTGTCCTGCCCACCTTCCTCTCCTCCCCCTCAGTTTACACTCTGACTTCATGGATCACAGACAGGGGGAGGGAGCCTAAGGGGACTTCCCTGCAGGAAGGTCATGAGAGAAGCCTCGGAGTTCAGCCGGTCTCTGGGGCCAGACGGTGGTGTCCTGGCCAGTCAGCCAGGCCATAGTGACATCACTGGGGCCACTGCCCTCAAAGGCCACAGTCTAGTTTTCTTGGGCTGCGTCCCCACACCCACGGCTGCCAGCCTAGTGATCTCACTCCTGGGCAGCGATGGGATTCGTTTCTCCAGGAGGTTGGCCACAGCCAGGCCACGAGGGCTCAGGCTCCATGGGGACTGATTCTGACTTGGCTGTGGCCAGGGTCTGGGGGCCTTGTGGGTGGTGGTGTCCGAGTGGGAGATGTCCCAGGAAGGAGCGAGCCGGGCCTTGCATGCTGGGGCAAGGCTGCTGGCAACAGGTCCCTTTTGGGGAGCTCAGAGCCTGCCACAGGACACCAGGACATGCTCCCAGAGCCCGGGCACCCTCCTGCCCAGATCCCCTGGCCACCCTGCTGCTGCTCCCCTACCCTAGCACCCCCCACCCTCTCTTTGGGATCTCCCCTGTCCAATATGCCCATCTGGGGTCCCGCCAGGGCTCTGCAACTCACCCCACCCCAACTGCACTGCTCACCTGCACCCCCAAACCTGCCACTCTCCCTGTTTGACTGGGGGTGGTCCTATTGTCTCTGGCAGCCAGGCCAGAAATGGGGGTGCCCCCAGACTTCACCCACCCTCCTGCCCCCAGCCGCTGGGGCACCAGGTCCTGACGGTTGTCCTTGACCTCCTCCTCAGCCCACATCGTGCCCCACCGCCAGCCACAGCCTCCTCGCCCAGAGCCCCCAGCCTCGGCAGTGGCCACAGCTCCCCAGGGGACGCTCAGCAGCTGGGGCAGGAATCAGACCTCCCTCCTCACAGAGACCCGGGGCAGGAGACCAGGCCCACCCCGAGCTGCTCTGCTGTGTGGTCTGAGCAAGCCGCCCCCTTCTCTGCCTTTATGAGGCTCAGCCATGGCCGAGCTGCAGAGGACAGACTCTGGTTTGCTGGATGAGGCCCTGGCCCAGCACCTGCTCGCTGGGTGACTTTGGGCAAGTCACTTGCGGTCTCTGAGCCTCTATTTCCACCTCACTTGCGATGTGCCCACAGTCACCCTTCCTGTCTCATGGGCCTTATAAGGAACAGAAAGGGGAGGGGCTCAGGGAAGTGGCCCAGAGTGTGGGGGGGGAGGTCGAGGGGGACTCACAGGGCAGGAACCCCCTCCCCAAGCACCAATGGAGACCCTGGCAGGGGGTGGGGGGTGAGGGTGGTCCACCGGACTGGGCCAGGCGTCTAGGGGCAGCTCCAGGCCGTTGGAGGGCTTGCCTGCCGTGGGGTGGAGGAGCCTTCACTGCCCACAGCAGGGCCTGAGCCCAGCGGGCCCAGCAAGGACGCTGGTGCTGAGCGCTCGGCTGCTCCTCACGTGCCCGCACCCTGGGGTCTCACCTCCTGGGGCTGGGGCTAGGCCCAAAGCCAGCCACCTTGTTTCCAGGGTCCCGGGGACTCTGTCACCCAGGCACAGGGACACTGCAGAACTGGTGAGGGGCAGCTCAGAGGAACCCCTGGCCTGTGCCCCACAAAAACTCAGCCCAGGCCTGAGCCCTGCAAAGGCAGCTGTTTGTCCCTGGGAGCCCCAGCATCAGCAGGAGTAGCCGGGTCCGAGGGTCCCCCTCTGCCCCAGGGCCTCCCCGGGCTGCCCACCTGCACTGAGCCCATCCGGGCACGCAGCGCCCTCTGCTGGTTTCTTTGGGGACAGCAGGGACTCACCGGAGCCTCGGGGCTGGATCCCAGGGCGCTCAAATTAAGGAGAAAGTCTCTTGGCCCAAGATCTGGGTCTTTGGGGTCTTTGGCCCCCGACTCCATCAAGGGGAGAGAACGGGGCTGCTGTTCAGGCTGGTCAAATGAGCACAAGTGTGCATGAGCTTTAATGAAGGGTCCTGCAATACACGGTATATGATTTAGTACTAATGCTCCCTCTAGAATAGAAATATCACTTCAGTCTGCAAAGTACATACAGGTTGAGTAAGCCAACCAGGACCAGGATGCCACCATGTGCCAAAAGAATGAGAAGGTGCTCACCTTGTAGGTACGTGCAGTTATTCCCTCCTCAACCAGCCCTTCCCACTCCCACATTTATTTTAATGTTTATTTTAAAGGAATTCTGCTGCAAATAGGGAGATGGGAACCTAGTGGTTATACGATTTTCCTTCCTTCCTTCTCTTTCTTTCTTTTTCCTTTTTCTTTCCTTCTTCCCTCCCTTCCTCCTTTTCTCTCTCCCTCCTTCCTTCCGTCCATCTTTCCATCCATCCATCCATCCATCCACAAATATTCCTTGGCCAAGGAATCCCACAGTCCCTCCTTTTGGTCCCGCTGCCCGTGAAGCAGGGACCTAATCCCAGTGACAGGGGCCACAACGGACAAGCACAGGGACTCTGAAAGTTGAGGGTCCAGGGGTGCTTTCCTGATACGGGAGCAGAAGAGGGTGGGGGAGGGAGAGCATCCCAGCAACGAGAGCGGTGGTCCCGCTGAGGAGTGGGATCGGCCATGTGCAGCAGGGGACAGCTGCAGGTCTCCTGAGGCTCGTGTCCCTGCACACGCTTGTGGCCGCCCTGGCCCGGACAGGGCCTGACCCTCCGCTCTCCTCTGGCCCAGGTTCTCCTGCTGGAAGCAGCAGAGCGGCCCTCGGGCCCAGACAACGACCTGCCAGCCCCGCAGAGCACTCCGCCGCCCAGGAACGAGGACTTCCTCCCTGATGCCATCCCTCTCGCCCACCCGGGACCCCGAAGGAGAAGACCCACGGGCCTGGCCGGTGAGCGAGGCCTGCAGTGGGGCTCAAGCCAGCTGAAAAGGCCTCAGGCTTGGCCTCCCGGGACCTCCACAAATAGGTCACACACCAGGCCCTCTGGGTCAGATACACCCACGTGGCATTTTGAAAAATTGAGCTCATGACAACAACAAAATTTGAACTAACACTTAAAACCTGGGGGATTTCACATAAAAATCAGGAATTCTAGTTTCTCTTACAAAACTGGAAGATCTGACTGTCCAGGCTGGCCATCCCTCCTGGGAACAATGGGCTCTAGCTGAGTCACGGTTGTCACTGTGGACTCAGTCCAAGCCCTGCAGTTTGCTGCAGTCCCCACCACTCCTTATTGTCTTATGGTCCAGCTACTGTCCTCGTTGCCCACCCTGCCCCTCAGCAGCTGCACGTTGACCTCCAGCCCAGCCCGTCCTTGCTTGGCTCAATGTTGCAGCAGCCCCTGCCGTGTATCCTCAGGGACTGGGGGCTACTGCCAGCCACCACTTTCTGGCGGTTCCTCACTGAACTCTCTGACCAGAGTTGGAGGGCATCTGCCATCCTGTCTTTCTGCCACATTTTTAAGTCAGGGGTAAAATTTCCTCTCTGCAGATTCTACCCACTGGTCTGGGCTCTGTCCCCAGGGACTATGGAATAGTCATAACAATTGTACTAATGAGGGTTACAATTGACGCCTGCTCTGCACCAGCCACTGTGCTGGGCTTTACCCTGTGGGATGTTTAGCTGCACCTGTCAATATGGCTGAACGCAGGGGTTTAAGGCTGGTGTCTATTATGAGTGGTCAGTGTCCGAGCTGTGCCAGTTATTAAATATTGTCATATCACCCTAGGCAGTACAAATATCACTTCTAATCTTTGCACAAAGCTTGGGAAACTTGGGGTTACAGAGCAGACAAGTAAGGCTCAGAGAAGTTAGGTAACTCCCTTAGGGTCACCCAGCAAGCCAGGGCATTTTGCTCCAGTGATTCTCAGCCCCACTAGAGTGCTTTGGAGGGGACACCCTCTCCCAGTTGAACCCCCAGATTCAGCTCTGATGCACACCCCTGGCCCCCATCGCATCTGTCCTGTTTCTATTCTGATGCCTGGCTCGGGAGAGCAGGAGGGCAGAACAGCAGAGTGGGAGAGTTGGCCTGCAGTGCCAGTCCTGGGACCAGGAAAGGAGAAGCAGGGATCCTGCACTTTTCTAAAGCGACTGAAGGCTGTGGGAGGAGTGAGCTCGGGCCTCCACCCGGGAGGGTGGGGGCATCTCACTCTGGCCGCCTGGCCTGCCCCTCAAGCCACTTTCCCCAAGGTCTCACCCCCAGAGGTCTGGCCCATGCCTAACTTCTTCAAATACTTCTTCTGGGACTGAGGAAGAGGAGGCTTCTCATCCCGCGGAGGACCCAGGCCCCAAACCCCCCAGCTCGGAGGCTGGGAGGGGCGCCAGGACTCCGGGCTGGACTTTTCCTACCAGGGAAAGTGCAGTTCCAAGGATGGCCACCAGGTGGGGCGCACACCCTACAAATGGTGACGCCTGAGAGCAGCCTGGCCGGAGAGCAGGTGGGGCTCTCCCAAAGCCAGCAACCCCCAGCCAAGCCCTCCCTCCCAGACCAGAGGCACATGCAGTCCCAGAGGGAAGGGACCTAAGAGCCAGCACAGGTCCCTCCATCAGATCAGCATGCATCTCTGAGCTTCCTCTCCAGGCAGCCCAGAGGGAGAACAGTCTGTCCCCAGGCCACACAGTGGCCTCACGTCCCCGTCTTCTGCTCTCCTGCACCCTCAGGGCCTGGACCCCTGGAGCTGGGCAGACGTGCCCTCCAGGCTTCCTGGTGTCTCTGAGGAGGCCTATTGAGGAGCGCTTTAATGCAAGCCCTGCTCTAGACCCCGAACAGAGAGACACAGAAGGATGTGAGAAAAAAACATGGAGTTAAGAAACCTGAGCTATGGCCTGGCCCTGTGACCTTGAGCAAGGGACCAGACCCTTCTGAGCCTCAGTTTCTCCACATGTAAAATAGGAACAAAAGCAGTTCTTCAGATCATAGACTTTAATAGGTACAAAAAATAGTTTGCAAACTGACAACTGATGAACTTGAGGTGATGGTGGTGCCTTTGCCTTTGGGGGGCCCCCAGGTGGGCGGGGTCATGGGGGAAGGTCTGACCCGATGGTCCAGGTGGGCAGGCCTGAAGTCACCCAGGGGCAGCTCGGCCCAGTGTTGTGAGGCCTTATCTCATTCTCTCCCCAGGGCCTCCGGGGCAGACAGGACCACCAGGGCCTGCAGGTCCCCCAGGCTCCAAAGGTGACCAGGGCCAGACTGGAGAGAAGGGCCCAGCAGGGCCTCCTGGTAAGGACACCCCCCCAACCTGAAGTTGTTCACTGGGGACTGGGCTGGGGTTTCTCTCCCACCACTACCCCATCTCTGCCCCCACCCCAGGTGCCTTAGGGCCTGATCTCACCCTGGGCTGCAGGAAGAGGGTCTTCAGGGAGCTTTGGGTGCAGGCGTAGATGTGGGGCCACCAGGGACCGGGGGCTATTCTCAGCCATTTAAACAACACCTCCGGAGAGCCCTCCTCCCAACTCCTCCTGGGTCCTGCGGGCAAGAGACCCACGGTCAAGACAGGTGTAGCCCAGGCTGGCAGCCACCCTTGGTGTCACTGCCCCTAAGCCAAAGTCGCTGGAAGGGGGCGACAGTCATCTGGTTGGAGCCTCTGCTGTGTCCACTGTCCCTGCCTCCCTCACTTCCCTCCCCAGCTGCCCCTGGTGTCCCCTCTGGACTGGGATGGGAAGGGAAGTCATTTCATTTATGTCCCAGGACACCCCTCCAGAAAAACTGTGGGTCAAGAGACCACCACTGACTGGATCTGTGACCGACCCTGACCAACCCTGTCCCCTTCATGGCCTCAGTTTCCCCTTTTGTAGTGGCTCAGCCACCTGGCTCCAGCCCTCACAGTGGCTCCCCTTCTCCCCATTGCAGGGCTATTGGGACCACCAGGGCCCCGTGGACTTCCTGGAGAGATGGGGCGCCCTGGTCCCCCAGGACCCCCCGGCCCAGCAGGCAGCCCAGGCCTCTCTCCAAATGGCCCTCAAGGTGTCCTCTACTCCCTGCAGCCACCTACAGACAAAGACAGTGAGTGCCGCGCCTGGGGGTGGGTGGGCAGGACTGAGCTGCGCTGTCTTCTGGGAGGATCAGCCTTGCACAGAGGATCCGGGAAATGGGACCCTGCCAGTGACGGGGATCAGCTGGGGAGTGAGGCTCAGCCCCAGGCCAGTGTCCCCAGGGAAGTGGTGCTGGTCCCAGAGTGGCCTGTCCCTGCCTTGGTGCTCAGCTTCCTGCCCCTGGGATCCTAGCCCCCGAAGGTCGCTTGCTGGCCTGGCCCCATTTCCTGCCTGGCAGTACCGCACCACCGAGGTCGTCCCTCACTGAACTTCCTCCTCACGTCCCCTCGCTGTAGGTCATTCACCTCGTGTTTGTCGAGCACCCAGTGTGTGTCAGGCACATGGTTCCAGTCACTGGGGACACAGCAGTTCAGAGACTCTGAGCACACAGGAGCACGTGGGGGGCGGGGGCGGGGAGGTGCAGAGAGCCTGATGGGACGAGGACGCTGGGCCCAAGGGACAGTGAGGCGGTGGCGGGCCAAGCAGAGGGAGCCTGCAGACCCCAAGAGGAACATCGGTTCTGGCTGAGCGCCCTGGGCAACGAGGGAAGGATTTTAAGCAGAGGGTGATGGGACTGACTTCAGAGCACGGCGCTGAGAACTCCAAGGTCAAGGGTTCGCATCCCTTTACTGGCCGCCGCCAAAACAAAACAAGACTTTAAATTCTGAGAAGAGAGGATGGGTCGGCGGCATCCTGCACTGTGAGGTTGGGTGGGGATGGGTTGGTGGCGTCTGGGCACTATGGGGGGCGATGGAGACCTTTGTCAGGTGTCAGAGAAGCCCAAGTCCCCCTCTTGCTCAGGCTTCTGTCCCCCCAGGGAGCACAGCCCTCATCTGAGCACTGAATCCCCCCTCCCCTCTCAGAGCCTCAGTTTCCCCATCTGTAAAGTAGAGGTGGAAATCCTCCCTGATGGAGCTGCCCTGGAGATGGAAACACCCAGTCCCCCACCGGAGCCTGCCCCAGGAGAAAGGGACGCATTCCCAAGTGGAATGGGGTCTAGGCTGCCCCCAGAGGGTATAGGCGGGGGCAGAGCTGGGACCAGGGCCAGTGTCACCCTGCTGTCTGCAGACCCAGTGTCCTCACCTGTGTGGTGGGCCCTGGGCAGGGAGAGAGCAGGTGAGGCTTGTGCCTGGCTCCCCTTCTCCCCATTGCAGGGCTATTGGGACCACCAGGGCCCCGTGGACTTCCTGGAGAGATGGGGCGCCCTGGTCCCCCAGGACCCCCCAGCCCAGCAGGCAGCCCAGGCCTCTCTCCAAATGGCCCCCAAGGTGTCCTCTACTCCCTGCAGCCGCCTACAGACAAAGACAGTGAGTGCCGCGCCTGGGGGTGGGTGGGCAGGACTGAGCTGCGCTGTCTTCTGGGAGGATCAGCCTTGCACAGAGGATCCGGGAAATGGGACCCTGCCAGTGACGGGGATCAGCTGGGGAGTGAGGCTCAGCCCCAGGCCAGTGTCCCCAGGGAAGTGGTGCTGGTCCCAGAGTGGCCTGTCCCTGCCTTGGTGCTCAGCTTCCTGCCCCTGGGATCCTAGCCCCCGAAGGTCGCTTGCTGGCCTGGCCCCATTTCCTGCCTGGCAGTACCGCACCACCGAGGTCGTCCCTCACTGAACTTCCTCCTCACGTCCCCTCGCTGTAGGTCATTCACCTCGTGTTTGTCGAGCACCCAGTGTGTGTCAGGCACATGGTTCCAGTCACTGGGGACACAGCAGTTCAGAGACTCTGAGCACACAGGAGCACGTGGGGGGCGGGGGCGGGGAGGTGCAGAGAGCCTGATGGGACGAGGACGCTGGGCCCAAGGGACAGTGAGGCGGTGGCGGGACAAGCAGAGGGAGCCTGCAGACCCCAAGAGGAACATCGGTTCTGGCTGAGCGCCCTGGGCAACGAGGGAAGGATTTTAAGCAGAGGGTGATGGGACTGACTTCAGAGCACGGCGCTGAGAACTCCAAGGTCAAGGGTTCGCATCCCTTTACTGGCCGCCGCCAAAACAAAACAAGACTTTAAATTCTGAGAAGAGAGGATGGGTTGGCGGCATCCTGCACTGTGAGGTTGGGTGGGGATGGGTTGGTGGCTTCTGGGCACTATGGGGGGCGATGGAGACCTTTGTCAGGTGTCAGAGAAGCCCAAGTCCCCC